TCTTGCCTGTTCCCAATCTCAGGAGGAAAGCATTCATCTTTGACTATTAAAAATAATGTTAGCTATAGGTTTTTGTAGATTCTCTTTACCAAGTTGATAAAATTCCTCTCTATTCCTATTTTTCTGAGAGTTTTTATTATGAATGGATCTTGCATTGCTTTTATGCTCAAGAAATCCTTTCCTGCTAAAGAGCCAGTATATATTCACAACCATTTTTCTATTTTTTAAAGGTTCCTGTTCTCCATCCCTAGCTACTTAGTATATCTGGAATTATTTCACTGTTAAATGTGTAAGCTCTTACTTCTGCTCAAGCAATGATGGAAACATGGGGACTTCTTTCTTTAAATAACTAGAAAACCAAATGAAATATAGGAAGCACCAATTTTCAAACATTAATAGGTAGTATAGCATGGTCCCTGAGAAAAGAGAAAAGAGCCCAGTGGTCTCATTGAGTTGAGACAACACACTAAAATTAAAATGTAAAGGAGGCCAGGGCAGCTAGAATTTTCAGGGAAAATACTAGAAAGAAAGGAGCTTTGTAGAGAAAGAGTTCCAGGGATCTTCAGATAGAATTCTTCATATTTTTTTTAGCTGAATTCTGCTCTATGCATATATATGAAAGAATTACCGAAGGCCAGGAAAAGAACTACTGAAAGCATTAGGCCTAAATATTCTTGGAGCTCATATATAACTGGGAATAGCTCCCGTTTCTACTAGCCAGAGTAGAAAAACACCGTGGAGCATCAGGCTGACTCCTAAGAAGGGTATCGTATTACTAGTGGGGCTAACTTAGCCAGATTAAAGGCTGCTCTGGACCCAGTCTCACTAATCTTAAAATTAAGCCTTAAAGGAATCCAACTAATTTCTGGTAACCTAACTGTGTGTTAAAAAGAAGTCCGACAACTACTTATAGTACTAAAACAAAATCCAGAATCCAATAAAGTTTGCAATATCCATCATCCAGTCAAAATTTACTAGGCATGCAAAAAGGGCATGAAATTAGGGTCCACAGTAAAGAAAAAAATTAGTCACTACAAATAGACCCAGATGATAAGATCAGCAGCTAAGTCTATTAAAAAGCTGTTAAAAAAAAAAAGCTATTACAAATATGCCTATTTTTAAGAAGGTATAAAAATATATGAATATATGAGAAATGAAATATTTAAAAATGAAAGATATAAAAAAGACCCAAATAGAACTCTAGAAATGACCATACATGAGTTAAAAATACATTAAATGAGACTAAGAGCAGATCATATACTGCTGAAGAAAAGATTAAACCTAAAGACACAGCAAGAAAAATTATCCAAAATTAAGCATGGCATGAATAAAAGATCAGACTATACATGACCTGTAGGGCAATTTCAAAGGTCTAACAAATGTATAACTGAAGAATCAAAAGTGGGGAGGAGGGAAGACAGAGAGAGAGCGAGCGAAAGAGAAAGAGAGAAAATATATCATTAATAAAATAGTGGCCGAAGTGGTTGAGGGATGGAAATCAATCAAGGATCTAGGCTTGTACCTTGAGAAACTAGAACAAGAAATAGCAAATTAAACCAAAAGTAAGCAGAAGGAAGGAAATAGTAAAGAACAGAAATCAAGGAAATAGGAAACGGAAAAATAGGAAAACAACAAATAAAGCCAAAATATAGTTCTTTAAAAAGATATAAACCTCTGGCTAGTCTGATCAGGAAAATATTCAGAGAAATAACAAATTACCAGTATCAGGAACAGAACCAAAAACATCCCTACAGACCTATGCATGTTAAAAGAATAAGGGAATATAAACAACTTTATACTAATAAATTTGATGATTTAGATGAAATACATAAGTTCCTTGAAAAGAAACAATCAAAGCTCAGTCAAGAAGAAATAACTTGAAGCACTATATCTGTTAAGAAAATCAATTAGCAGTTCTATAAGTCTTACCAATAAGAAAACTTTAGGCCCTGACAGTATCACTGGAAAATTCCATACTTAAGAAAAAAAAATAGCAATTCTATACAGAGTCTTCCAGAAAATATAAGAAACACACTGCAATGCATCACCATGAAATCAAAACCAAAAATATTATAAAAAAGCAAAATCACAAACCAATAGCCTTCATAAATGCAAAAATAAAGTCCTTAGCAAACTAGCCATATACAACATCATGACAAAGTAAAGTTTATCCCAGAAATGTAAAATTGTTTAAATATTCAAAAAGGAAATCAATGTAATTCACTGGGTTAACAGATGAAAACAAAAATATGATCTCAGTTAACAAAAGGCCTTCTCCAAAATGCAATATCCATTCATGACTGAAGACTCTTAAAGTAACACTAGAAGGAAGCTTCCTCAACCTAAAAAAGAGCATCCATGAAAAACCAACAGCTCACATCATACTAATGGAGAACATGTGAGTGCTTCCTCCTATCAGAAAAGCAAAGATGTCTGCTCTCAACACTTCAGTATTGTGCTAGAATTTCTGACTAGTGCAATAAGGCAAGAAAAATAAAAGACATATAGATAGATTGGAAAGTTAGAAGTATATCTGTGTATTCACAATTTGACTATATAGAAAATTCTCTGAAATTTAATCATAAGAAATCCAAAGAAAAAAAGCTACTAGAACTAAGTGTGTTTAGAAAGATGACCGGAAATGAGGTCAGAATACAAAAATAAATTGTATTTCTATATATTAGCAGTAAGCAATTAGAAATTTAAAAATAAACACATTGTCTTAAAAAATATGAAGTACTTAAGCATTACAAAACATGTACAAGACCTATATGCTAAAAACTATAAACTGCTGAGAAATTAAAGATCTAGTAAGTGGTGATATATAAAATGTTCATGGATTGGAAGATTCAATATTGCTATGATTTTAATTCTTCCAAACTGATCTATAGGTTCAATGTGATGCCAATCAAAATGCCACTAGGCTTTTTCATAGAAACTGACATACTGATTCTACATTTATGTGAAAATAAGGGCCTAGAATAACCAAAATATTTTGAAATAAAAGGAAAAATAAAGTTGAATTTGTAATACCTGATTTTAAGACTTAATAAACAGAGTGATAAAGACATTGTGTCATTGGCGTAAGTAAATATAGACAGGATTTCACTCCTATGTGAAATTTAAGAAACGAAACAAATGAAGAAAAAAGGAGAAACAAAAAAACCAGACTCTTATAAATATAGAGAACTGGTGGTTGCCAGAAAGGTGGGTGGGATGGATGAAATAAGTGAAATCAAATTAAGAGTATACTTATCATGATGAATAATATATAGAATTATTGAATCATTATATTGTACACCTGAAACAACACTGTATGTTAATCTTACTTGAATAAAAAAATTTTAAGAAAATCCAGAATAGACCTACACATACATGGTCAACTGATTTTCAACTAACATGCCAAAGTAATTAAATATAGTCCTAATGCCTCACACCATACATAAAAACTAGTTCAAAATGGCTCCTAGGCCTAAACATAAGCTAAAACTATATAACTCTTCTAGAAGAAGAAAACATAGGAGGAGTTAGGCAAAGATCATAAAAGAGAAAAATGATTAAACTTCATCAAAATAAAACTTCTGCTCTTTGAAAGATGCCACTAGGAAAATAAAAGAGAAAGCCACAGTGTAAGAGAAAATATTGGCAAAATACATAGCTGATAATAAACTTCTATTCAGAACATATAAAGAACTCCTGTAACTAAAAACAAAACAAAACAAAAACAAAACAACAACAAAAAACACCATAATCAACCCAATTAAAAAACTGGCAAGCAAAAAAAAAAAAAAAAACTGGCAAGCAACGTAAACAGACACTTCACTAAAGATATATAGATGGTAAATAGGGACATTAAAAAATGACCCTTGAGACACCTGGATGGCTCAGTGGTTGAACGTCTGCCTTTGGCTCAGGGTATGATCCCAGGATTGAGTCCCACATCAGGCTCCCTGCATGGAGCCTGCTTCTCCCTCTGCCTGTGTCTCTCTCCTGAATAAATAAGTAAAATCTTAAAAAAAAATTCTCACTAGTCACTGGGGAAATGCAAATTAAAATTGTAACAGAGATACCACTATACACACTAGCACGATTAAAAGTAAAAAGACGGACAATACCAATTGTTACCAAGGATGTGGCATAACTATAATACTCATAAGTTGCTGGCAGAAGGCAAAATAGCAAAGCCACTCTGGAAAGCAGGTTGACAGTTTCTAAAAATGTTGAACATACACTTAACATAAAAGCCCAGAAATAAATCTCACTCCTAGGTATATACCCAAAAGAAATAAAAATATATGTCCAAACAAAGATGTGTATGCAGAAGTTCATAGCAGCTTGATTCGTAATGGCTCAAAACTGGAGACAACACAAATGTTCCTAAAATAGTGAGTGGAGAAACAATATATCCATATAACAGAATACTACTCAGCAATTAAAAAAAAATACTGATACATTCAACGCAGGACTCTCAAAATCATTATGCTAAATCATTAGAAGCCAGAGACCAAAAAAATGTGCAACATGATCCATTTATATAGGAAAGGTAAAACTGTCAGGACAGAAAGTGGTTATGTTGATGCCAGGGCATCAGAAAGGGATTCACTGTGAAGGGGAAGGGAACTTTCTGAGACAGTGTAAATGTTCTAGATATACCACTCTACATATCTGTCAAAATTCATCCAACCACACACTTAAAACTGGTTAATTTAGGGCACCCAGGTGGCTCAGGTGGTTAAGTGTTTACCTTCAGCTCAGGTCATGATCCCAGGGTCCTGGATTTGAGTTCCACACTGGGCTTCCTGCTCAGCAGGTGTCTGCTTCTCCCTCTACCCCTCCCCTTGCTGTGATCTCTCTCTCTCTCTCTCTCTCTCTCTCATGCTCTAATAAAATCTTTTTAAAAACTGGTCAATTTTATAATATATACATATAACTTTTTAAAAGCTTGTAAGTTCTCTTTTCTGGGCTGACAGCTAACCAAGAAATGACAAGACACTGTTTACCTTCCCAGTCCTCCATGTAAGGGGCCTCTTCAGCTTCTTTCTCTGGAGTGGGTCTGTCTGTGAATTTTCCTTCTTTCATGACCCTGGTGATTTCTCGGAGCTGATGCAGCAACCGTTTTTCTTGGTCGGAAGTCACAGTCTGTGCTCTGCTTAGAAATATCAGACAACCCAGCCATTTAATAGTAAATGAACTCCTGGGCAATGAACACACAGACATCACTAAGATCTGTCTGGATCCTAGAAGAGGAAGTCCAACAGCAGCAGGTAAGTGTTCTAGGAATTGGTCCTGGGTATGCATAGCTGATAACTGGATATGTTAATTCAATGTTCTGATTTTATAAGGTGGGGAAATGAAGGCCCAGGAAAGATCAAGTGATTGCCCAAGGTCACATAATGAATTAAGGTCAATAATGGGACCAGACCACAGATGCTTACGCTGTCAGTTCAGCGGTCCTTCAGTATACCTCACTGCCCTGATTGTCTCATCTCCAAGAGATTTCACTATTACTCTTATTACCCATTTACTATAAGCCACTTTTCTCCAAAGCAAGGTCATCAAAAGAAAATATGCTGAGCTATTAGCCTCAACTACAGAAAAATATCCTATTAGCCCAACCCTGGAATTGCCAGACTACATCTACTTCTGCAGAAATAAAGAAATACCCTAAAATTTCAAAGCTGGATCATTCTGACAAATCAGTCCTTTAAACCAGAGAAACTGAGGTCCATAGAAGGGCAATTCTACATTTATTCCTATTGCTAGTTAATGTCAGCACTTGAACTACAACTAAAGTCTGACTTCTGATGGCAATTCTTAAAATGCTCAAGTTCCAATTTAGAAAACCTGGGTTTGAGTATCAATTTAGCTGGAAAACTGGGCAAAATGTCCACAAAAATAAGATGAGGCTCAAGATTAATGGTAGGACTATTTTGAGAAGCATGGCATCTCAGTCACAGGCAGAAAAAGCTCTACTCAAGAGACTGAGAACTGGTTTTATCTAGTGGCAGGATTTAACAGAAGCTACTTATGCACCTCTTAGAAATCCAAAACATTTGAAGGCAATTTAAATTCATGAAGGAAAAAAGACATTTAATATTAGCCTTGTGGAGATGCCATCAATTTTTCTAAGCATCCGGTCTCGAGCCTGTGTTCCTTTTTATGCTTAGCCTACAAACTTAAGCCTTAATGACTAACAGAGGAAAAACAGAGGAAAGAAGTATTCCTCCCTCCAATGTTAAGATGGTAAGTGAAGAAAAAGAAGGTACAACATTTCTACAGATCTCAGTGAGAAGACAACAAAAACACCATGAGTTCCAGTTCTTCCACACTAAATGGCCTCAAAGCCATAAACTGAAGAATCTGGTCTGTTCCACATTCAGCTAAAATCTTACATATATTGGGCCTCTTATAGTTCTGTTTTTCCTATCAGTACAGGAGTCCTGCCTTGTCACAACTGTTCATCTGCTCTCTATAATTCCTAATTCTTACTATTATAACAACCCACCTTGTGCAGGGCTTCTGATGCAACTAGGGCACCCCTAGATAAAAAAGCCTACTTGCTAGTATCCAATATATATAAAGAACTTATCAAACACCCAAAAGATAAATAACCCAGTTAGAAAACATGAAACAGACATTTTTCCAAAGAAGATGTACAAATGGCCAACAGGCACATGAAAAGATGCTCAACATCGCTCATCAGGGAAATGCAAATTAAAACCCCAATGAGATAGGACCTCATATCTGTCAGAATGGCTAAAATCAACAACACAGGAAACAAGTGTTGGCAAGGATTTGGAGAAAGGGAAACACTCTTACACAGTGGGTGGGAATGCAAACTGGTTTAGCCACTTTGGAAAAAAGTATGGAGGTTCTTCAACAAGTTAAAAATAGAACTAATCCATGATCCAGCAATTGCACTACTGACTACCCAAAGGATACAAAAATACTGATTCAAAGGGGTACATGCACCCTGATATTTATGGCAGCATTATCACCAATAGCCAAATTATAGAAAGAGCCCAAATGTCCTTTGACTGATGAATGTATACAGATGATGTGGTATATGTATCAATGGAATATTACCCAACCATGAAAAATAATTTAATCTTGCCACTTACAATGACATGAATGGAGCTAGAGAGTACTATGCTAAGCAAAGTAAGTTAGAGAAAGACAAATACTATATGATTTCACTCATATGTGGAATATAAGAAACAAAACATGAACATAGGAGGAAAAAAGACAAACCAAGAAACAGACTCTTTAAACTATACAGAACAAAATGAGGGTTGCTGGAGGGGAGGTGGGAGAGATGGGTTAAATGGGTGATGAGGTTTAAGGATGGCACTTGTGATGAGCTCTGGGTGTTGTATGTAAGTGATAAATCACTAAATCCTATACCTGAAACTAATATTACACTGTATGTTAACTAATTGGAATTTAAATTAAAACTTGAAAGGAGGGGATCCCTGGGTGGCTCAGCGGTTTAGCGCCTGCCTTTGGCCCAGGGTGCGATCCTGGAGTCCCGGGATCAAGTCCCACGTCAGGCTCCCTGCATGGAGCCTGCTTCTCCCTCCTCCTGTGTCTCTGCCTCTCTCTATCTCTCTCTCTCTCTCTCTCTCTCTCTGATAAATAAATAAATAAATCTTTAAAAAAAAACTTGAAAGAAAAAAAAAAAGAACCTACGTGTTTATCACAAAGCTCTGGCCTTGGGCTGCACATGTTACTTCTCTGGGCTGTCCTCAGTGCCTTCTCATTTTTACTGAATGAAACAGTCTTGACTCTGTTTCCTAACTCATGGGAAACCAGAACCCCTGATTTTAAAAGGGATGGCTAGGAGAAGCAGAAACAGGCAAGTGAAGCATTCGCAGAGAATTCTAAATTAAAGCATCCTCCTTTACCTCTGAACAAGCATATTTCCATTGTCCATATCATACATTAGGCAATTAATCATGGTCTACCTTACATCTTCTGGATTTATGTAATAAATATTTTTTGTAGATTCCTTATTGTCTCAATTTGGTTTGACAGACCTTGAGGGCACTGATATAAGTTCAGGACAGTACAGGCACAGTGCCATGAACATTACAAGTGCTCAATAAATATGTGCTAATTTAATTGGTCCCTATTTCTTTACCATCTATTTTCTCCCACCTCTCTGAAATCTGGCTTCTACTCCATTTTTACCAAAACTTTTTGAAAATCATCAATAAAGCTTTACTCTCGGGATCCCTGGGTGGTGCAGCGGTTTAGTGCCTGCCTTTGGCCCAGGGCACGATCCTGGAGACCCGGGATCGAATCCCACGTCGGGCTCCCAGTGCATGGAGCCTGCTTCTCCCTCTGCCTATGTCTCTGCCTCTCTCTCTCTCTGTGTGACTATCATAAATAAATAAAAATTTAAAAAAAACCTTTAAAGCTTTACTCTCAAGTCCAAGAATCTTTTTTTTCCCACATTTCATTCTTCTTGACCTCTCTGTACTATGGGCCATCCTCTCCTTAAAATGTTCTCTTCCCTTGACTATTGAGACCTTTGTATTCCTCCCACTTCTTTAATCAATCCTTGGATCTCTGATCCTGGCTCACTTTCCCCCATCTGCCTCCTAAACACATGGTTTTCCTGAAGGCTCAATCCTTGGGCTCTTACTGGTCCATTCTTACAGTCATGCCCTCAGGAAGCTGGCTGTATCACAAATTAAACCACTGCTTCTACATTGGTGATACCCACACTCTACCTCTAATCTTGACTTTTCACATGAAAACCAGTCTTAGAACTCCAGTGATCTAGGCATTTCCACTTAGAGGCCTTGCCATTACTGATGGTAACCTTAAATTCACTCTTCAAAACCAGATCCCAGTTGGCCCAGGATGAGGAACAGCTGCATGAGCAGCCACATTTTGTAAGGTTGGGTATGGCAGATTCCAAGATGCTAGAAAAATAGAAGGTCAAGTTAGAAGATTACTGATCAGACTTTTGAATGTTATAAACCCAGAGGAATCATCAAGTTCTGAATCCAAAAGTAAAGTATAGAGAGAATGAAATAGTTTCTTTCAAACACTATTCACGATTGGAACAGAATTCAGATCAGCAAAAGATTGCAGGCTACTGCCATACGGTAGGATATGCCTCAAGAATTTGATCTCACCTTTCTACGTGGCTCTGACCTCCAGCCAAATGATTTCCAAACTTGTGTCCTTAGTCCTGACTTCAGTACCCCAATTTCCTATTATTATTTTTTATCATACATAGATATTCTGATGGCACCTCAAACATACTCAAAGCTGAACTCATGATCCTTATACCAAAGCCTTATCTTCTTTCTCCTATTCTGTGTTTTTATCTTGGTTGATATAATCTTGTAGTCTGGGCCACAAATATCTAACTCATCTTTACCTCTTTCTTCTCCTTCATTGCTCTTACCTAGCTTTCCTTTTGGGGGAACTAAACCCTCTTCTGCTCATAGTGCAGAGGTTAGAGTGAAGCTATCCAACCCCTTACCTCTCCTTCAAGAGTGGCCATGGCCCATAGCCAATCATCACACTCCATCCTTTGGCTGCAGTGACTGATTCAGTGATATATACAGGATCCAAACTGGGCCAATTGTACCTTTTCTTAAAACTGGGTCTTGAATGCAGTGAAACCAGATCTGAAAACTTTTCATGTTAATTCATTCTGACAGTAGTCCTTGAAGAACCTGTCCATTTGTTTCTCTCCTCTGAATCCTCAGAGCTGTTCTGGTTTCCCTTCTTTCTGAAACCTGGATCTTTAGCTATTCCTTTGATACTGTGAGCTATCCCATAAATGCCTCAAGAATTTGATCTCCAACAAATTTTCCAATAAATTTTGTCTTCCAATAAATTCTGTCACCTTCTCCAAATTTCTGCTACCTAGAATCGACTGTTTGCTACCAAGGAATCCTGAAAATAGCCTGTGATTTTTAACTTTATATTTATTCATTTATTTAAACCTCTATACCCAACATGGAGCTCAAACTCACGACCCTGAGATCAAAAGCCACATGCTCTTCTGACTGAGCCAACCAGCTTGCGATTTTCTTCCTCTTCCATCAAGTCCCCTTGATTTGGCCCCTCATTTCCACTCTCACTAGCCTAGTTATTACCTTTTGCTAGAACTTTCCCTGTAAT